TCCTTTCCAAATATGTCATTAGCAAGAAAAATAAAGAGGAAAAATTAAGCTGATAAGGATGGGCTTGGAAACTTTGAACGTATACAAATCACAGGATCTGGCTGACATTTATCCTGCTTGTTAAAGGAATTGAACTAAGGAGTTAAGGAATCACCGAGGAGTGGCGGAAATATGGCCAAGGGGTATGAAAGCAGAAAGTTGTAGTTTGTTTTTTATATACAGCAGAAGTTGCCCGCTGTGCTGGTAGTGGTGCAAACACAGCACAGGAGATTGTCCACACATCACCGTTTCTGGTCTTTGACATAATACTAGGGTGAAATTTATAATGTGCAAGGGAAAAAAAAAGAAAAATGTCATGGTCTTCCAACCTTTAAAATAACAAAAACATAGCTGGCAGATGTATAGTGGGGAACAATGATACATAGCAAGGAAGCACACTAAACGTCTTACAGTTTAAAACTACTTCTAAATATCAGGAGGTCAGCCGCTTCACAACTTTTTCATGTCTTGGGCCTCATGTTCACACTCACTTATGGTGCCCCTTTGCTGCAGGGGCCCCAAAAGCTCTCACTTTTATCTTCTTTAGATTCAACCCGGGAGGGGCGGGGGGCTCCTACTGGCCCCAGATGTCAGAGCACTTGAGTCGTGCCGTCTCTTGAACTTTAGTTGCTCATGAGCCTTGATGAATCCAGGCTCTGGCTAAGAGAGAGGAATATTTTTTTGAGAAAGCTGGGAAGGGCAGCAGATGCAAAACCTGGCATTGGGGAAATCCAAAGCTGACTGAGGGATGACAGGCTTTGAAACCGAAAGGAGGAGCCTTAGGTCGGATGCTGCACAGATGGGGGAATCCGAGAAGAGCTGTTTGGGGAGGAAGAGACGTGATCAAAGCAGTCCTCGTGGAGGATGGATATCAGCAAGATGAGATGGCATTTATCAAGAGCAGAGAAAAAGAGGTTACTTCACAAGGGTTCAGTTGTGCAGATGGGTAGGGGAAGGCTGCAGAAGTGGTACGTGTGAGGCGATGAGCCAAAATTTGACATAAATCCAGACGCTGGACAGACTCCCCACTAGCTAAGTTACTTAAATCAAGCAACTACTTTTCCCTTCAAAAGGCATGGCTTTGCTTGACCATGAATTACCCATCAGTGGCTTGGAGTTGTGCAGTAAGATTGCATGATCCTTAAAGTCCATCTCTGGTCTGCAAATCTATGCATTTGCTGATGTTTACTGCCCTGCTTGAGTCCTTCTCGTTTTTTCTTGTTTTCTTTTGCTGAGAGCAGGATCAGCCCCACAACTGTCTAGTCCAGCTTTTTCCCAGTACACAACACAAGTGACAATATTTTGGCAACCTATCTGGGATATTTTTTCGCTGCCTTGTTCTCTCTCCTTTCTGGACTTTAATATGTGTTTCAAATCTTTGCTGCAAAATGCAGAAAGTAAATAAAGAGACAATTTAGATGGTCAATAGGCAGACCTAACAGAAGATGGAGAAGAGAAACAGTAACAAATAAACCTAAATAAAGAGTCAAGCTCTTAATAAATTATGTCCGACCATCAGACAACTATAGAAAAGCAGCCAAATTAGCTGCCATACCCCGATGCTGATAGTCTAGATAAAATATTAAAACAAATCTGGACCAAAGAGAGGCTCTCTGCAATGGCACAACAGTTTGCTTTCTAGCTGAGGTAAAAATAACATGTAATCATTTAATACAATTTCTTCAAATAAACTTCATTTTGAGATAATGACTTCCAGATGGATGAAGGTTTATAAACATCTCTGCCACAAGATATGTTCCCACTGGGTAACGGATGGGGTAAGAGAGAGATTCAGTCAGTGGGTCTACACTAGTACTCTAGACATGCCTAGCACTGCTCTCTAGCCCCAAAACCAAACATCAAGAAAGGTCTCGTGTCCATCCTGCTGCTCCTTCAGGCTGTCTAAAACCAGGTGGCTGCATCCAAATTGCCTGTTGAGAACAGGCAACCCCCTGAGCCATGCCTGGGATGTGTCCATGGAGTGGTCCAGTGGTCCAGACCCAATTGGTGCCAAAAGCATCTCAAAAATTACACCATTTGGAGCAGGGAGCTCTCATGCCTGGGGATAATCCTAGGCGCTGCATGATTTAACAATTTAGACACAGCCTAAGAGTAACTTTGCAGAAGAACCCACAACCCTTTCTGTATCAACCAATACCCTCATTGAAATGATTCTGGAAGCTCATCTAAAGCTTCAGGGCTAGATGATCATGTCCAGCTTTGGAAATACGTAAGCCCACATCAAACATCATCACTAATGGTCATACTCAAGGTCAAGGCAAGAACCTGTTCAAGACATCCATACGGTTAGTCAACTAATAGCCCAGCACCTTTTTGGATGAAATACTAGCCTCGAGCTCCTTGGAGCCAAAGCTGCTAGTCAGGCTGTCAGTGTTACACATGTATTTGATTGCTTTGCTGGGTTGGGGCCCTGCAGAATCAGCACAAGGAATGTGAAGGAAACAATGGCACTTCGCGCTCAGTGTGGAGAATTTTGAGTGTTATTAATTATTTCTCGTTTTGCTGGTTAGCATTAAGAGACAGAGGGCTGAAACAAATCCAGGCAGAAATCAGCCACAGTTATTAGTGTCTCAAATCTTTGTCTTGTAGGCTTCAGTCTGGTTAAAACAACAGGAAAAAAAGCTAGACATTTTTCAGATGAAGGCCCCCAAGGTATGTGGGATTTTAGATAAATGACCTGGGTTGGGTCCAGCAATAATTATTTCCCTTTAAATCCTCAGATTTTCTTTCTTTCCTATTTTTTTTCCTGTTTACAAGAGATTGTTGGTTTGTTTCTTTTTGCCTCAGTTTTATCCATACCTCCCGCCATGACAATGTAACCTACCCACAGCTGAAATCTAAATGATTCATAGAGACAGTTGGATTTTATCAAGGACCTGATGGAAAGTTGGCATGTTTCTAGCTCATCTTGCTTGCTTTTTCACCTGAGGGGTTGAGAGAGGAGCCCTCATCTTCCAAGATTCCACTTTTTGGGCAAATCTACTGCTGTGGAGCTGAGCCCCTAAGCTCCTCTCAGCCACACATGTTCCTGCAGTTTATGGGTGTCTTTAAGGACTGAAGACATGGGTGATTTCAGGGACATTGCCAGGTCCTCTTCAGCATATTTTCCAGGCTCCTTTTGAGACAGGAACTGTGGGAAAGAGATAGCAATGACTTGAAGCTACAGTTTCCAGGTTCTTTTGGGTTGCATGTTTCTGGAGCTCTACAACAGCTTCTTGCTGTTGAAGGGGTCTATGAGCTCCTTTGCTCTGAAACCCAGCACATTTCACAGTGTGCAGGAAATCACCAAAATGGGAGATAAGCTTTGTGAGGATATTTTTAACATAAATAGATGTAAAGGATAGATTTTGAGTTAAAAGTTTATTAGCTGATTACATCCCTATCTAGGTGTGAGGAGGTGGTGATACCCAATCTCTCTGACCCATCCTGATTTTGAGCCTATCAAAGAAAATGGGGTCACTGCCAATGTTTGTTGAGAAAAGATTAGAAACTCATTTTAAAAGATTAGAAACTCATCTTCCATGTAAGTCAAAAGAAAGGCAAAGGATAATAAAAGATAGGCTTTAGGTTAAAAGCTCCACACAGTCTAATGACTGTAGAGTTGAGTGCAATAGTCTTTGGGCAGGACGGAAGATCTGAATTCATGCCAGCTTAAATGGTGCTATATAACCTGAAGTTATACAGTCCCCTTGCTCAGAATCATCAATACCATGGGCTTCAGAGGAAGTCTGTGTGAAGAGGACAAGTCTCACAGTGGGTTCCATATTTCTCATTAAAGTATGTCTCCGAATCACAGAATCACAGAATTGCTGTTGGCAGGGAACTCTGGAGGTCATCTGGTACCAGCCCTACTCCAGCAGGACCACCCCAAGCAGGGGGCCCAGCCCCGCATCCAGGCAGCTGCTGGAGATCCCCAAGGAGGAGCCCCCAGCCCCTCTCTGGGCAGCCTGTGCTGTGATGGTTTTCTTCTCCTTCATGTACCTGGAAATAGTTTCCAGGATTAGCTGTTCTGTCACCTTCCCAGAAATCATGGAGAGGCTAACCAGCCTATAGCTCCCTGGGTCCTCCTTCTTGACCTAGAGTATAGGATCTCAGCTCCAAATGTGAAGTTTTGGGGCCTTGCAGCAAAGAAAGAGAGAGGATGGTTTTTTAGAGTCAGTGATATTTGACTACTACATGGCCAAAGTGTGTCAATCCAAAATTAGTTAGAGGCTCCTGGATATCTACAGGGAGACTGATGAAACTTTTCAATGTTTGAATCCCCTCCCTCCTCTGTTTCAGCTCCAAAGGATGCAGGTTTAGAGCACCTAACAAATATATTTTGTTTTCTCCTCCTTCTTAACTGAAGAGAAAACAGAGGCTGAGCAACTTCATTTGGGATGAGGTGGAAGCCCTGTTCCCAGTCTGGCCAGCAGAATATCACCAATACCCAGTCTGACCCTGTGCTGAAATTCAGGACCATGCAAGGATTGTTTCTCAGAAATGTTAGCTCTTGACTGTAAGAACAGCCACAGATAAATCCCTATTGCCAGTTAGACACCAATGTGTTTCTCATCAGTTCGTATTCCAGTAACATTTAGCAAGCATCTCATTAAAAGCTAAACCCGGCGTGTCTTTGTCTCAAATCCTTTGTGAGAGAATCGGCTTCACCATTGTCAAGCTGGATGCCAGGTCTTAGGCAGGTGGGAGAAGCCACAAGCCTATTGTGCTGCCCTTGATCTATACATCCCAGCAGCCCCGTGGAAGTCTTGCTCAATCAGGTCTGCACTCCAAAAGCTCCCCAAACCTCCTCCTTCACCCTCCACTGACACGGCAGATGCCTTTGGATGCCTTCCCAGTTTCATCAGGTCAGTTCTCAGAAGGCTGGAAATCTCTGTTTCCCATATAGTCTCCCCCCCACCCTCAAAAATAAACAAATATCATCTGTGTTGGAGCTGAAGAGTGGAAGCATGTATGTCCTGTTAGAGACTCATGTTTACATTATTACTGGGAGCAGATTGAATGGTTTAATCTTCTTATGTTTTTTACAGTTTTCTTGCAAACCTCATGGTTTTGCAACAGTCAACGCTGGGACTCCTTTTGAAAAGGACAAGCAGCTTAAAAGGACCTCAAACCTATCCTACCCTGTTGGGATTTTGCAAGCCAAAAGTTATCTAGCTTCTAACCCAACGTCTTTTCCATGACCAGGGTTCTTCTCTCATGCTCTTCTCTCCACCTAACCTCTGCTAGGGGCACAATCCTGTCCTATGCTGGCAAAACAAAGCTGAGCATTGAGGCTGATCGCACTGTGCTGCTACAGATGCACTGGATGAACTCTTTCCTGCGTGTTTCATGTTGCTTCTCTCTGTCATGAGAGAATCCGCTGCCCATGTGGTGACAGCAAGCACATGTAGACATTGTTTAATGAACACACAGCCAGCCCAATGTACTTGTTAATCAAGCCAGCGTCCCAAGAGCTGGCAGAAGAACTGAATGCTCTTGCTGAGTCAGCATGTGGGCCATGGTTATGACTTTCCATCAAACGCACGCTTTCTGCTGCCAAGTCTGGGCCAACTCTTCAGCATCACTGAAGCCAGACGAGTATCTGGATTAAGGTTCCACATGGAGGGGAGGGCTCTGCAGAGTTTCTTGCTTGTTTGTTTTGGTTCTCACCAGCGAACCACTAAGCCCCTGCGATGATCTTTCCAGTTGGAAAAGGACTCAGCTGATCCAGTTTGTGCAAGAACCTTTCAACCCAGCAACTGGTATGTCTCCTGCCTGCCGAGCCAAGCTTGTTGCAGAGCAGAGCCTGTTGTGATGCTGCAGGGCTGGAGGGAAGGGGAGCTGTAACTCTGCAGGACTGCCCTTGACCTTCAGAGAGCTGGGGAGTGGGGAACGATGGGTTTTGCCTTGTTTTGTTTTCGTTGATTTTGGTCTTGATCAGTCACCGTGCTACCAAAAGGGTCAGAAAGTCACCAGCATCACCAAACTTCACTGGGAAAGAAAGAAAAAATAAAATTGCATCTTCTGAGACATAGATCAGCAATGTGAGATCAGCTGCCAGCAGCTGGGTGACAGAGCCAGAGGGAGGGCGAATGTGGCAGAGGCAGCACGACCAGGTCATGCTCCCAGGCTGACTTTCACGGCTGTCAGCTAATCTCACTCTCTTTGGGGAGCTCCAGCTCAGGTTACCAGCAGTAGGAGGTGAGAATGACCTGTAACTGGAGGCTGACAGGGGCCCATAAACTGGCTCTCCTGACAGCTTCCTGGAATCAGCCCCTTGTCTTTTGAAAGGAGGCATCTCGAGGGGAGCTCCTTCTTTAACCAAGTGCCCGGTGACTTTGTCCCCTGGTCTGGAAGAGGGAGGCACACAAAGAGCATCCCCTCAAACTCAACCTTTTTTCTATTTTTTTTTTTTTTGATAAAATTTACTTCTTTAGGTGAAGCTTCAGAGAGAAGGATTTCTCAGCTTCAGGATTTCTCAGCTCCACAGAAAAATAGAAGCTCAAAACCAAAGACAAACACATATCAGCCTTGGAGTAAGTGATCACCACAAGCCTGGGGAGGACAGGAGGGGGTAATCCTTCTTTACCAGCTTCTAATGGGACCCTTGTTTTCCGTTTCCCTCATTGCAGATGGTTGCCATTCCTGCTAATCCGGGGTAGATTTTCTTGTTCTTTTTCTAATGGTGTTTCATAATGTATAAGGAAATATTCATTGGAGCAGGACGAATGGAAAATTTCAAGAGCGATCAGATGAATTTTCTGCCCACCCCTTAAAAACAAAACAAAACAAAACAAAACAAAAAAAATAACACAGAAAATGTTAACAGGGAAATATGTAAAATATTTCATTTGGGGGGAAAAAGTGAGTTTCTAGCTGAAAGCTTTGATTTAAAACTATTCCCATTCCTTACTCTGCCCCTGTCGCTGGTGTTCCTGAATAAGGCCATCAGCTCATCCCAAATCCCTTTTGTTTCATCCGTGTGCACATCCATCCTCAGGATCTGCAGGGATGGCACCTTAGAAGTCACCTTTCTCTGCTCTCTGCTGACCATCACAGTCACTGGTAAGGGGGAAATGAGGCTTCTGTTCTTTAGGGGAATATCACATGTGGGTAGGGTTGACCCAAAGATGTTTTCTTCCCATGGGGATGCTAAAATACGTAGGTTCTTCCATGCCTTGGCATGAGGTGAAGAGTTTGCATGAACAGAGACCTTGGATGGGGTCTGACTCTACACATTTGGTAGAGCTGACAATTCATCCGCTGTTGGACTGGGATAATAATGCCTGCCTGCCTCACAAGTGGAGTGTACGAGCTCTCCTGTGGACCCACTGTCCCAGCAGAGTGTTATGGGGCTGTCGGGGTCATTAAAAATCTGATGTTTTTGTGTTTTGTCTTTGCAGGAGCACGCGGGGCATTACCCCAGGCATCCTGGCAAAACTTCCAACTTCCTTGCCGCTGTCTTGATGAAAGGGGACATGTCAGCCCTCGAAAATGTGTGTTAGGCAAGAAAGAGGAGACTTCTGGGAAAGCACTTCTTTTCTGCAAAATTAGTTTTGCTGAGTTTACAAGGTGTCGAAGGCTATTAATACCGCACGCTTTGGTACCATGAGATTGTAAACAAAGTTTCAATATGCCTTTCTACAGAACCATTTATCAGCCTCCATCTTTTTCCCTCTGGCTTTTTTCCACCCTTTGCTTTCTTTCTTTGCTTTCTTTCTTTCTTTTTTTTTTTTCTTCCCTTCCCTCTCATTCTTTAGCTTTGTCTCCTGGATTTATTCCCATTCTCTAGGTTGTCTTATTAATTTTCCTCTTTTTCAAAGAAAAAAACAGGCTTGTGGCCTGGAGACTTTACAACATTCTCTCATAGTCCTGGATTTAAAACGCCTAGCCGGGGGTCTATAATGTACTGACATGGAAAGACTAGACTTATTATTAAACTAATAATCTTGGAATTTTTATGAACTACAGAGCTCTGCAATCATTTCTAACCACATGGCACGGGTTGCTGAGGTATTAGCAGCCATTGGTGAAAAGCTACTGTGGCTGGACACGCCAACTTTGTCAACACCTGGGAGCAGGGCTGCAGAGATGAACGAGCCGAGGAGGTGGTGGAGAGAAATGGGATGCTCTCAGAAGCCCCAGGTGAGACTTGCCCGCTTTCACCCCAAAGGTTTGTATCCAGTACATTAGTCAAGCTAGAGCCCCCAAAATATAACATGGGGTATGGGAAAATATGTTGAATTAAATGGGAATGCTAGGAGTTGGGAGTGTAGTCGTGTAATTGCCTTAATCTCTATTTTTACCACCACTAGATACCAAGTCAGGCGGATCCTTGACCCAGCCCAACACAAATACGTGTGTTCTTTTACAACTGAGCAGGTTAAGATGGGACAGTTTCTATACCTCCCATTTTAACATCTTTTCTCACGATGAAGACTAAAAGCTAGAATTTTCAGATCTTTTGGAGCATTTGTCTGGAAGGCCTTACAAAGATTGCTCTTTTAAGGGTGTTTTGTTATGTTGGGTTGGGTTAAGGATCCATCTAACTCACTATCTAGCAGTACCTGCAGTATTTTCAACTACAACATGTGAAGATGCTTTGTTGCTTATGAATATATTTACCAGACACTTTAAATTTCATAGAACTGTAGATTTTTAAATTTGATAAAAAATTTTTACAAGCAAACATACCAAAAATTTAAAATTTGATACAATTAGATTTGGTACAAAGTGTATTCCACCAGCATTCAGAATCACTGCACTGCTCACTTTGCCACCCAGTAAAATGAAAAATCCCCTGGCTTGATGCTGCTCATTACATTTCCAGAGCATAATTTCAAATGGTGTGTGAAACATCTCACTTCTGGCTCTGGACACCTGGGCAGCTGTGTTGTTCGGTGCTAGGCAGCCCCATGTTTCATTCAGGAGATGGAGGTACCTTTGTGGCCATCTGCTCATGGTTTCACAAATTGTTAATGCTTTTCAGGATGCAAATTGCCAGTGGAAAGAAAGAGAGACAATCATTTGAGTTGCAGTTTAAGGCAGAGTTGATCTTATTATAGGGGATTATAGCATTGTGTGAGCTGCCGTGATATGAGAAGGGTTTTTTTTTTCCACTGCAAGGCATTTGTGAGACCTCCACTCCTTGCATTTTCTGCTTGCCTGTCAATCTGCTCATCTTTCCGTTTCATTTAATTAGAAACACTGGTTTTAATGATGCCTCTTCTCGGAGATTGAACACACCAGGCCACAGTCTCTGTGTGCCTCAGGTGGTAGAAATACATTGGCTGCACTGAAGTCACCTGGGGGAAAACAAAGAAGGGGAAAAGCTCACTATCTCCTTGTGATGGATTGCTAACCCATCCCTGGGATATTCCAGAGAGAACAGACGTGCAGCCCATGCTGAGGATGAATTACTGGATCCTATTATAACGGGAAGAATTAAAAAAAAAAAGGAGAACTCCTCCGGATAATCAGCACCAGCTGCCACTTGCGGGGTACCCCATCCTCCAGGCAAGCCGCAGCTGTGATTCATGCCACGTCCTACGTTGTTGCCTGCCCTTAACATCTAAACAATATGACATGTTCTGCCTCAGTACATACATATTTCGTCCTTACGCGTGAGTTTCCGGCTGCTCAGCAAAGCAGGCGGCCGGGGAGGATGCAGGCTTTTTTTCTTTCCTTTGTACTGTAACTCATCCACGAGGAGGATGGGGAACGAGGGTGTCAGGGGGGAAGCTTCCAGCGAGTCTCCGGATGGGAGGCATGGATCTTTGTTTCTGCGTCAGCTCCGTGTCAGGGTAATTGGAAGCAACAAGGCAGCGCTGGAAAACACTGTCATGGATCTTAAGTGCAAAGCCTTTGTGGGAGTCACTCCTCGTAATATATGGAGTGCTTACAAGGAGCCGTGACAACTCCAGCACGCGGCTGACACACTGAGCCTTTCACCTAAGCCAGTAAGGCAGGGAAAGGAGCTGAGAAGTCTCAGGCAGTCATTGGGAGAAAAGTTGTAGGTTTTTTTTTTTCTGGAGGAGAGGAGGGCAGGGGGGTAAGAGAGTAGTTTCCAGCTGGGGAGGCCAAAATTCTTCAGATAGCCTGCATTTCATTTGCGAAAGGCTCTGTAGCACGTGCTTGCTGAGATAGAAGCAGACTGGGTTTAGGAGGGCTTTTCTAGTCCCATGTGCTCAAGATAATCCCCACTGATGGCACAGGGAAAAGAGGCACAGTCAGAAGTGACCATGGGACTGCAGGGGCACAGCAGGAGATCCTATAATACAGCATAACCACAGCTCATAGCCAAAATCTGGTAAGCACACAGGCTGCTGCTCCCCACAAGTTGCCCCTGTTCCCTCTGCACCCTTCCACGGACCAATGCTAACCTCACCAGGTGCTGATGGGGTTTTCTTCCCATTCCCTTTTAGTTTTTGGAAGTTTTGTCTGGTTGATGTGTGGGTTTTCTATGTTTCTGGTCCTAGCCATCAGTCTGGACTCTACTGCACACCTTGAATCTGGACCATGCTTGCACCCTGAACCTTGTAAGGCCCCAGACACGTAGTCTTCACCTTTCAGGAGGTGATGTACCCATGAAAGATATTTCTTTCTGCCACTTGCAGACTCAAGTTTCCTACATCCAGGAGGCCAGCCCTTCCTACCCTGTTATTGCCACAGGGATCCAGAGCTCAGCATCCTCTTGCCGGGCACCCATGGCCACACTGGCAGATGAGATGCCATGAGACAAGGGCAGTGTGTGCTCATCTTATTGGATCCCAGTGGAATTCTTCTGCCATATTTTTTTTTCTGGATGCTGTTCAGTCTCACCTCAGCTCCAGTCTGCTCAGTGACCTTGTTTAGAGTTTGGCAGCTGGCTGTTTCATTTGATGTCCGGTGAAAGGACAGCTGCTGTGGAGGGGGAGCCTTACTCACCAGCAGTTTGCAGCAGGCTTTTTGGCTGGAAATTGCACTGGTGTCCTCTTTTTGTGCCCAAATCACCCCCCCTGCCTCTGTTATGAGCACTCCTGCTCGTGGTGCTGGGAGGGCAGTAAAATGAGCCTGATCGAGGGGGATGAAAAGCAGGAGCTCTCAGAGAGTGTCGTCTGCTCCGGCTGGGCTGTAATCCCATCCGGGAAAGCTGACGCCGTTCCCGATCTCACCCTTTGATCACTTTTGGAAGGGCGGTGGGTTTGGGACTCCACCGATGACCTGCCGCCAGGGCCCAGCAGGGTGGATGGACAATGATGAATAGGTCTGAGGTACGATGTCCTACCGCAAAACACATGTGGTACGCAGCTTCCCTCCCTCCTGCTCCTTGAAAGCCATCGCAAGAAGCGCGTTTCTTCTTATTTTGGCTCGGATCCAGTGAACAAAAAAAAAGAAAAAAAAAAACACTTCAGGGGAGGATGGGATTGTGCTGGTGTGCTGGAGTGATGCTCAGCAAACTTGGTCCCCAGATGGGCACGAGCTGGTGCTTGGGATCTGCAGTTCTGCTCCAGGACCAACTCTTGGCTGCTGCAAGGAAAGGTGTGTGAGTTTTTTTTGGTGGTTTGTTTTGATGGTGTTTTTTTTATTTTAATTTATTTTTTTTCTGACTCTGCTAAATGCCTCCATTTTTGCAGGAAAGAAGGAATATTTGCAGGTTTATTCATCTGCCTCTGTGCTACAGCACTGTAATGCTTTGATTCCAAGGGGTTCATCTCATGGCGAGAAGTAGAAATGCAAGGAGAAATCCATAAGAAGGATGTGTAAAGGTGCCTCTGACTGACCAAACATACTCTAAAGACATTATTTTTACTGCAATAAAGCCTGTAAAGGGTAAACAATGTCAGGATGTCACTATGTCAAGCACTACACATGTAAAAAGACAGTAGTGGGGAGAGGAAATGTTACCATGGGAAAGCAAAATACAGAGAAACTAAAGTTCTTGGACTAAAGCTTCAAGATTTGAGTAATCTAGACCTCCAGTGCCATCCCAGTAATTGAAGTGATTTCCTTAATTAGTACATTTCCATAATCCCTTATGTTATTGCAGCTTGACACGTTCTCCCACTGCTCTCAGAGGCTTTGGCTGTTGAGCCACGAAGAGGAGCAAGGAAGGTGGGAAACACGGAGGTGCTAAAGAAATACAGAGGATACGGAGAAATGGGCTTTGTCTGAATTTATTCAGGAGTCTGAAAACGGTGAGAAAAGTGCTATGGTTGTGGAGGGCAGCGCGAGCTCAGGGTGCACGGCAGAAAGACAAAGAGGAGCTGGGCAACCCTTGAAAGCCCCAAAGGCTGTCAGCTCCCATGGAGAAGAAGCAGCAGCAGACTCCCCGCAGATGCCTTTCTGGCAGGCAGATGTTTCGATCGCGTGTTTGGCAACCACTGAGCGCCCAGGTTTTGGCAGGGGATGAGTAGAGGGAAAGAGGCTGAGTGAGAGCAGAAGATGCAGCCAAGGGCCTGGTGAGGCTCAAGTGTCCTTGTGCACTTTGGACATGCAGCTCCCATGGCCGTAACACAGTCAGCACGTACACACAGAGACACACACACCACTTCCCATAGCAGCAGTTTTCAACAGAGTTGCCCTGAACTGGTAGATAATGCACCTAATAATGGTGTTAGGTATTTATTTTATCCATGTAACCTCTGCTAGCTTCAGTGCCATTTTGTAAAAGCTCTTCAGGGTAAGGTGCTGTCACTTTATTTTGTGCCTGTGCCTCATCAAGCACTGTGAGACCTTGACTCATGACTGGGAAATTTACACAGTGATCACTGTCTCGGGAGATACGAACACAAGTCCTTTGAAAAGGTAGGGATAAGTCTGAAAATCCCAGCCATTGATAAGGTTCACGCTGTCCCAGAGGGAAACTACCAGCCTCAATTCAAAATGGAGATAATCCTGGTGTCAAAGGTGAAATGTTTCGGGGTTGGTGGTGTTTTTACTTACTTATTTTGATATATTTAATCAACTAACCTAAACTAGAAAGCTACGTTAATAGAAATGAGAAACCAGACACCAGTTTTGCCATAATGTGGTCAAGGCAAAGCTAAATAGCACAAACTGTTGGCATTATACTTAATGTAGAAAAGTAAGAACTCTCTCCATCTAAGGCTTTCTTGCCTGTGATCTGTTCCTTCTATAATATTTCCTTATGGTTTTGCTTCTTGAACTAACTTACACTAAATTCTTTCTACTAAAGGACTCAAAGCACTACTAAGATGTTTACAGGGACCTTACCAGCTGTCCACTCTTTTCATGGCAACTTTGGGCTCTTGACCTCAAATACATTTATGATAAAGTTTGTATGACAGGATGACAGAAAGAGCAAAGACTTGACTCAATGCAAATAAATGTGCCCAAGACTGTCCAGTAACTCTGAGCCCATCTGGGTGGAAGAGCCTGCAACCATCCTTTTAAACTTGGGTAGAATCCAAATCTAGGTAGCTTCACCCAAACTGCTTGTTGGGAACAGTTCTTGGCTTCTGTTGGATCCCAAGCCACAGTGAACATGTTCTTGTGCCCAGAAATATTCAACGATGCTTTAATGAGCATTGGATAGAGCTTCTGTTGCTTACAGCTCAAGGCACTTGTGAGCCATCTCTTGGTGCACAAGGCATCAACTCATCACAGATGGTCACCGGTTAGCATTTACTAGCCCAACTCCATGCAATGGGCTCCAAGGGAATCTCCTGGGTTTCAGCAGGAGCAGGAACAAAACCTTCACCCACTATAAACCAGAAAGAGGCATTGGGAATAACAATGGCACTGGGAAAGTAGTTGTGCCGGAGTGATGCAATAACTTCACTTCCTTTCTCATTTCAGCCTGGTTTGAGAAAATCACCTGTGGCTCTTCCATTCTTCCTGGCCGCTTAATGCTGGTCCTGTGAGATGAATCACAGAGGCACCAGCTGGACCCTAAAAACAGGAAATTAGAAAGCACTACTTCTTTCAGCTATAAGTTCTAGGGGAAGAACAGACACCTTACATACAAATGCCTGTGACGGCTTTGTCCTTCATTGCATATTTTTGATAGTAAGCCCTCCTGAATGGTAGTGAGCAAAACAAGGTGGTTTGATCTCCAGGCAGTAAGTCACAATCAAGCTGAATTGAACTAGAGCAGTCTCAGAAAATTGTGGATTATCCCAGTGGTGTCATTTCATCCCAGGTTTACAGTTGTGTATCTTTTCTCATACCAGGACCTTGGCATTTCCCATTCCCAACATTTTGCAGGGACATTAGCCTTCATCCTCTGATCAACCCAGGCACAAAGCTGAATTGCAGTAAAGATGTAACCAAGGGTAGATGGAACAGGCTTTTAACTCCTGCTAAAGAGAGATGCAGGTCTACATCACATAGGAGGTGATAGTGAGCTTTCCAGGGTAAGACACACTCTTGTTTTCTCTTCTGGAGCCACTTTATATGCCCAAGTGCAAGATGAGGTCTTGGAGGGGGCTGCCAGTACCTCTGACAGGGAAAACAGAGTGAGGCAACCAGGCTGCAAGGCAAATAAATTGCAGGAATGTGGCCTCTGCTGTGCTTCCCACTCCCTGCTGGCCTTTGAAGTGAAAAAACAGTCTGGGGGCTGGAGGGAAGTCTCCTGCCTGGCAATGTGGGCTGATAAAGAAAGGCTACCAAACTTGTACAGACCTCGATAGAGAGGTGGTGGGGAGGGGGTGCAGAGAAAATTTAAAAAAAAAAAAAGGAAAAAAAAAGTGGTTATATTCACTGTGAGACAATACTCCACGGCTCTTCTAAAAGATGACAGCTACAGAAAGTCATTTAT